CAGTTGTGATATATAAAGAAGGAAGATTCTGATATTTTTATGCAGAAATTTAAGTTTTACTTTTTTTTCAAAAAATTAGAATTATCCATAGTTTCTGTGCTTGTATTAAAGAAAATGTACAGTTATAAGAATAAATGCTGAATGGGGTGGTTCTAACATCTATTGACCATTTCAATATTAAATATTTAAATTTAAATGAAGCCTTGAAGTCAAGCAAGTTAGCCTTGAAGCACAGCCAATGTATCCTAAAGTTGGCCTCATTTACAACAACATTTAATATTTATGGCCATTTTTAATCTAATGCTTTAAACTGTGTTACAGTGGATTTCTCAGAGCTTGATGGTAGTATAGCTAATTGAAATCAGAAAGCTAATGCACTGACACATTCATAGGGTGATTAGCCAAGATTTGTGGCTGACACAGAACAGCAAAAACACACTGATTTACTTAAGAAATTTCTAACACAAGGAAATGTGAAATAGTTCAATAGGAGACCATTATTGCTCTTTTAATTTCTTCCTTTTTTGCATGGCAATGTACAAAACTAATCAAAGCACATTTTCTCCTCTACTTTAAACACAGTTTTACAAATTCCTGTTGCAAGGCCATCTCTATTTTCCTTTTTAATTTCTGAATATGCTATAGAATTATAGAATTTCAAAAGCAAAATATTATTTATTTCTGAGTCTAATTGCAATTATTCTATACAAAACAGTTATACTCAAGATAGATACGAGTAAGCAAAAATTTCAATTAATTGATTCAGCCTAACACAAACAAATTAGGGCATAGTTTTTTGTTTGTGTGTTTGCTTTTAGCAGGTCTCACTTCTTAGTCCAAACTGGGTTTGAATTTGCTGTCCTCTTGCCTCAGCTTCCCAATTACTGGGATACAGACATATTATTACCACACTAGATGGGCAAGAGTTACTAACACCTGAAATGTAAGCTAATTTCTTGAGTGTGCCTAAGTGCTACTGTCTCATAAAGTTCTGGTAAATGTAGTGTGACACTTATGTGAACCTGTTTTGGTCATTAGAGAAGAGATGACTATTCAAATAAATTTCATTCTTAATTTTTGATAAATTTGAAACATAACTCCAATGCAAAGTACAGGTATATAATATGAGATAGTATCATATTGGATTAAATGAAATATGTATCTATACATGTACCTATACATGTATCAGATGAAAGAGGGTCCACCTTAAATTCCTAGTCTCTGATAATATGCTCCTTACGTGACAACATCTAACATCAGAATAAGGAGTAGCACTGGAGTGGATTTAAAGGTAAGTAGAGTTTGGGATTTTACTTTTGAGCAGTCGCCACAAAAGACTCAGAGAAGGGAACACAAAAGACTCAGAGAAGGGAAAACATAGAACTGATTCCTCTCTGTCTTGCACAATTCCTTTTATGGACTGATGAACACCAGGGTGGTTCCAAAAGAATCACAAACTCCTTGACCATACTCAGAGGTGGCCAGGACAAGTGGAAGGCTGATGATGTAACTGCAGTTATCTGTTTACTGTAATGACAGAAACATGCATTGCTAAATAAAAGTCAAGGAAATCTATGTTCTGAAACTGTACTTTTAGCATTCACTGGTCGCTGCTTTTGTGATAAAGTTGGCTTTTATAGTTATTACCAGTGGTCAGGCTATCAAGCTCAAATATAATCAAAGGTAAAATCATGCTTTGATCTTCCAGCATTTAATTGAGTTTCTAAGACCTGAATTTCAGACATTAGTGTTAAACTGAAGTGTACTATTAATTACTTGAATATTATGTGGCTAACTGGATCATCGTTGAGTTCTATTTTAATCAATGAGGGTCTATTTGACAATCAGATGAAAGAGGGAACTATTCTCCAGGGCTCATTTAAAACTGATTTTATGACCCTGACTGTTTGAACACTCATGTCACAAGTGCTTTCTGCTTGGTTGCATTTTTAGGTCCACTCTCAGTGTTAATTTTCATGTTGAATCACATGTTATAATGTTTTGGTTTAATGACATCAGCTAAAGTAAGAATGAAGCTTTCGTCACAATTGTCATTGAAAACAAGTAAACCTGTAATTTGTTATACAAAATTTGTATTTTGAATAAAACATTGTTTAAATATCCAAGATGGTGGCTCACACCTGTAATCATAGCACTCACGATGAGGTAGGAGGATCACTGCATTTGAAGTCAGCCTGGAGTACATTGTGAGTTCAAGGTCAGCCTGATCCACATGGCAAGACACTCTCTCGAAAAAGCAAAAGATATCCAGGATAGGAAAGTTGCATGAAACACATGCATATAATAACTCTGTTAAGAATCCCTTGGAATGGAATTTCAGATTTGTTTATCTGGAGAGTTAAGGAGAAAATGCACTGAACCATCACTAAGCAAAGGTTAGATAAATATGTGCATGCACATTTAATTGTGTGCCAGTATGTTGTTTATTTTTGAAATATCACCCCAAGGAAATATGGGGCTATTTCAATTAGATACAATTATGGCTATAAATTAGATAGGTTAAGGGATATTACGGGCAAGAGGGAATTTTTCACATCAGTGAGTGTAACTAACCAAGAAACTCTCAGTCAGAAAAGATAGTGATCACCTTAACTGAATAATTTAATTCAAAAAGATGCATTTAAGAATAAATTAGCAATTTATACTTTTAATATTATAAACATACTATGAAAGCTGTACCGTCCATTTTATGTTAATCTTATGTTTTTAAAATTTTATTTAAAAGGGAAAAGAGAAAAAAACAAAACAAAACAAAGCGGTGTAAGGGTACAAGTAATACAGAACTACAAAAAAAAAAAAAAAAAAAAGTAAGAAATCACCAGTTAATAGATTACATATTATCATCTTAGAGATAGTTGCTCAAATCACAGTATCAAAGCATACAAAGTGGACATTCAAACAGTGAGACTGCAAACAGTTGTGTTCAATGATCCAACCAAAAACATTTATATGGTCAGCTATTTAACACCCCTAAACACACTTGCTGTTGTATCCTTTAGAGCACTTTTTTCCCTCTCTTTTTTACAACAAAATTTACACATTTTGGGTTTTATTACTCCTTAGTTCTTATTACTTTTTTTTTTGGAAAAGAATAAAGTCAAATATGGCATAACAAAGCTGTCAGTCAAAACCAAGGATAGACATAGCACATGATGTAAAACAGAGTACAAGGTTATCAACAATGGTTATCAACAATGTCTCTTGTTTCCTTAAAAATAATTGTCTATCTCATTAGATATTATAAAGTTGAACAAAACAGTAGAGAACAAGACCAATAAAACTTAAGCATTGTAAACATTACAGGACTTCCAAAGGAGACAATAGTCAAACCAGAATGGGCATCTTAGTGAATCTTATTGCCTTCAAAGTAGTTGCCTATACCCTCAAACTTGATACTATCATACAGAATGGAACAGAGTCTAATCAGTCAAAACAAGGTAGTGGGAGTATTACAGGACTTCAAAACAAATTAATAAGAGATCAAAAAAAGTTACTATTATATATCCTGCTAATTATTTTTAATTTTCCCCTTAATTTAAAAAAACATAAAAAAACTAAATAATTTTTTTAATGAATAGGGGAGAGATTGAGATAAAACAGGACATAACAATATAACAATACAGGTCAAAGCATGACTATTTCAGCAACCTAGTGCTTCACCACCAAATAACCCGACTTAATAGTAGTTACCCGTAGTATCTTTTTCTTGAAATATTTGAATAAAACTTCATATACTATAGCTTCAAATATTTCCATATCAAGAAGCCCAGAATAAAGCCTTTCCCATTAATAAGTGAAAACTTTATAAGGCTTCAAGGCCACTTGGTCAACAAGCAAATCAACTCATAATTGACTAAACTGTAAGGCTCCAGATCCTTCACCATTATTATTTAAAGACCATTTAGTCTTTGTTGTTTGAAAGAGGACATTCCTTATACTATGCCACAAAGCTGAAAAACTTGAGTTCTAACTTTAACTTATTAAGATTCAATATTAGACAATCTTCCTGATTTTAAAATTGACAACTTAATATTTCTTTTAAGAACAGTCTATTGTCTGTATTTTGAACTGCCATTAGATTTGTCTATGTTATTTGTCCTTGATAATTTTGGAAAGGAGAAAAATACATACTCTATTTTCCATATGAGATACTGACAAATTTGAAGAAAATTCATAGAAAATGTTCAACTTTCTGGATCCACTGGTTCAGTCTCTCATATACCCCACATTTCCTTTGGAATATAGCAAGCACTCAGGGAAGGCTGTTTAATGATTCATTATCTGCAAGATATATTGAAAATAACATAATGTCAAGTATTACCTGATCTCTCTGTAACCTCTCTGGGTTTCAAATACATCATCTATTGTATTGTTGTGACTGAAGCTGGAGACTGCTCATATACATGGCCCTGAGAACACGGATAATGCAAAATGAGCCAGATAAACATGCTTTTCCAGCTCTAAGAAGGCAAGGAGCCTGGGCCAGTCAAATGAACTAGTTGCTAGGCAGGGGGATTGAAATTGACATCATCCTTCTGAGGGTATAAATAAACATGCTACAGAGGTTAAGAAGTTCCTCTTCTCTCATCAGAAGACAGGGCTCTACCTGACCTCAGCTTTCATTTCTCTTCTTCATTTTCCCATCCTCTTGCAATTCTTTTTCCCCAGGAAAATTGAGAGCTTTGCTGGTATGCATCATTCTATTAATAAAGTCACTGAGAGGTCTCCTGAGAAAATGAAATAGGAACACAAAGCTTATAGGACATTTCCCAGACATGGTAAGGGTTCAAAAGTATTAATTCATTTCATCATATGTTTTTTCACTGCTGTTCATAGTGACATTTAAGGAGCCACACCTCAGTCAAAATGGTATTTCTGGCATGGCTTAACATCTTTTATTTACTTTTTTTTAATGTGAAGTAAAATTTTCATTCATTCATTTCTTGCACTTGAAGTACTCTTGGATGACATCCTTGTGCTCAGATTCTTTGCTGTACGTAGTCTTTATCTACCATGCAACTGTAACCAACTACTTTGCAGTGTTTTCCTTTTTGGTCAGTTTTACAGAGGCCTACCCATTCCCCTAGTTTCTTGTCATCAACCTTAATTAGTTTGATTTGGTGTTCAGCACAAAGGGCCTCCACTAACTTTACAAACATAGGTTCATCACAGTTGGATGCAAGCACACAAAAATGGGATTGGCATTTATGTAAGGCTTTGGCAGCTTCATGAATGCCACATGCTAGGCTACTGTGGATGAGGATGGTCTTCAGCAGCTCTTGTAAAGCAGTGTTGATGTCCATTACACCTCCAGCAGCGATGCCTTTCTTGGCCACTGCAGCTGGTTATGAGTGAAGCCAAATCTTGAACATACCCGAACCTCTGGTTCTACACAAATGGGCAGTGGCATGGAAAGAGGATGCATGCATCTGCTGGACGTTATTTAGAGGTTTTCAACATCTTTTATTTAAATAATATGTTTATGTATTATAAAACTTTCTGTTCTATAATAGTACAATAAAATTGATAGCTTGGTATATAATTAAAAATATATTGAACCATCATATCATGAATGTGTTTGCTGTAAAACTGAAATGTAGTAAGAAACGAGGAGGGCTTAGACTTGAGTTGTTTTTTTTTTTTTTTCATTTATGGATAAATATTTTGTCTGGCATAAAAATCACAGAGAGTGATTATAAGCAACAGGATTGACTCAAGTGGATAAGGAAAAGAAAGACTATTTAATAAGATCATGGCACTCTTTTACAGAAATGTTTGTGCAAACTTCAGATGAACCATCAGAGCTGTAGACCTACTAGGGAATAGGCCATTACATCTCTATGTTTCACTCAGTCTCCTTTAGATTTCTATAGTCATTGTTGTACTTTTCAGCCCAGCTTTCCCCCTTGAATTCCCCATTACTCAATCATGGCTGTTCCAATCACGTTCCCTTCAGAAGGATCCAGCAGTGACTGACTGGAATGCTTAGGCATGGATGCCAGATTTGAGGCAAGACACTTTGTCTTCAACAGAACAAAACATAGGTCTCTCTCTTGACCCACAGACTATTCAGGATCATATTAGAATGGCCACCAGAGTATTACAAAGTCATAGATTAAAATACAATCAAAATTTACCATCACAGACCTAAAAGAAATATGTTAAGTCAATCTATCCACAGCATATCTTTTTTCCAGATATTGTTCTACTTCTAGAGTTTGTCACATCTAGTGGTCATTTAATTTTTCTCAGCAAAATTAAGGGTACATTTTATCTGAGGATAAAAATAAATCAATAATGTTCCCAAAATGTTAAAGAATGCACAGAGTAAGCAAGTGGCAGAGCTGGGACTCTAATATTGGCAGTTTAGCTTCTGACCTGTGCTTGGAGCTGTCATGCTATTCTGCTTCTCCATGGAATTGCTTTCACTGGTTGAACAAGTTTGATTTTTATGATTCTGGACACTTCAATGAAAATCCAAAATCCCAGGTTCTTATGGTTGAGAATAATCTCCAAGACAAAACTGTGTTTTCTGAGTCTAGAACCTTTTTTGACACAACACTAAGTTGACACTACTAGTTAAGACAAATATGCTTGCTCTACTTATTATCAGAGATGTGCAGATCCAGCCTGTGTATTGCTAATTTCGAGGTACAAAAATGACCAAAAATTGCATGATTTTACTTACGATCCAACAATAAATTTACTTCATAGAAAACCATTTTCTCTGTGAATTGCCAAGTAAGAAAGATAGAGTTACTTCTTCAAAGGTGCAGTAGATCCTACTGATGTGTACTGTTGCTTTTACAAAAAGGTGAAAAGGAATTCAAGTTAACTATTAGTCTTAAATAAAATTATGAGTCATTTCCCTTGTATTAACATAAAAGTATTTGCAGAGGTATCATGAAGTTTGATACAATCTTATTGGCTACTGTTCATATAGTGATGAAGCTGAATGTCTGCTCATGAAGCACATAATTTGGCTTCTTTGCATTCAAAATATGTTAATCACTGATGCTACTTGAAATAGTACTTTTAAATAAGGACTGCAGGATGTAGTGAAGGAGTGCCTGTCAGTTTTTTAAAGCTAAAATCACTGGAACAATTATAAATTCAGTTAGGACAACTTGCAAAAAATTTTTCTACATGTATCAAGTTGAAAATTTTTTTGGGAAGGATATCTTTCATATACTAGGCTGAAAGATGGTCTTGGTCACCATAGACTGGTAATTATGGCTACAGTGAACCCAAGTAATTAAATTCTTTGAATATCTCATACCATCCACTCATTTCTACATCTCCCCTTCTATTAGTGACACACACACAAAATTTACTGCTCTATTCCAGAGATTCATTTTTCCTGTTATTTCTTCACAGATTTGTTATGCTTTATTTAAAAGTGCAAAATCTTCATGATTTGGTCAGTTTTTTTGGATTTCACTCTTTAGTTAATATCCCTATATACAATTAATACAATTCATACACCTGTTGTTGTTAATTAGTTCTTATATTAAGAGAGCTCCTAAATCCAGCCACAGAGCCTACATAAGAGCTAAATTTGGATGGGGTATCTCTCTCCCCTTCAACAATAAACACCGAATCTATTTTGTTTTAATTAAAATATAATTCTTAGATTTTAGATGGTTAATTTTGTAAGAATATTGGCAGAATAAGTCCACTGTTTAAGAAAAAAGGCAAGGGTATGTTTATGCCTACTAATAATTTCTCCCTAAGCAATGGTTGAAAACATTTTAAAAGACACAGTTAAAAATATATCTTAGCAGTTTTGAGAGGCATATTACAAAACTGCCATCTAACAGATGTGCTTTTGACAGTAAAAGAAAAATAAACTTCCAAATATTCATAGGCATGTTTGTCCACCTCCTAAACCCACTGTGCAGTTGCTTTGGTTAGAAAATCAAGCACCTGCAAATTGACTGTGATTAAGGATTGTGCCAAAGTTTTTGAAGCTTTCTTAAGTCTGCATAACAAAACACATATAACAATGGTTGGTCACAAAGCTAACACTGACAATTAAGTTTCATGTACTAACTGAGATTTGCAACCTTCTGGTTTCAATTATACAGTTCAGTTCTGCCAGATGGAGTAGGGAAAAATCATATACATAATTAAAACCCATGAAGTTACACCAATCCCAAATGAGAGAGAGAGAGAGAGAGAGAGAGAGAGAGAGAGAGAGAGAGAGAATCCCCCCCAAAATCTTAATCATATTTTCTACATCTGCATCCAAAGTCAAAACCCATGACTCAAAATTTAGAGCTTATATAAAAATAGCTCATCTGCAATGCAAATAACTTCAAGTAAAAAACATAGGATGGAACAAAAGAATATTGATAATTAATTGTAATTAAGAAATTGTTTTAAGAAAAATTTACATATTATAGATGAAGAAAAAAGTAAAGGTGTCATTTAAATGTTTCAAATAATCCTTAGAGAACTAACAATGATAAATTTGAAATAAGTAAACACTTTTTGCTATGGTGATAAATATCCTGACCTTTCAAAAGAAGAGGTAGTGAAAAATAGCACGGCTGGAATACAATAGGCCCCTAGGTGGCTTTAGTTAGTGGACTCTTTACTCCATAAAAGATCTTGCATTGCATCAGCATTTAATATCTAATAAGGTATCACAAATGAATGAATATTAGATAATTAGCATTTGGGAAGTGGCAGAAATCAATTTACCATATAATTACCTGAATTCTATCATATAATAAATGAAGCTCAAGATGAGTAAAACAAACATGCAAATGTGAGTAACTCTTACGTCTAGATGAAACAGGTCTTATTTCAACCGTTTTTAAAATTTTAAGTTAGGAAGGGCATATATAGCTTATTTAGTGTGGTGAGTGCACATGCACTTTGTATATCTTTCTTTGATATTACATCAAAATTACCAATTAGATTATTTTTAAAAAATTGATAATCAGGCAAGTATTAATGGCTGATGAAAATAGTAAAGAATATATGAAAAATATAGAGGTAAAAGTGGTGAATTCTCAACAATAGAGCTACAAAATCTCACACCATGCAATCTCACTCAGAACAGGTGAGTGTGAAAGCAGAGGCCTAGAAATAAGCAAGAAAAAATATACTGCACTTTTTTTATTACAATTACAAAGGCCAAAAATTCAAGTAAGGTGACACCAGAAATTAACTATAAGTTAAAAATCCAATAAAATAAGATTTAAACTAGATCGAAACTCATAGCTTCAGAAAACTAGTATCTAGATAGTAAAATACTATTTATCTATCAGTCTCCATCTATTTATCTATTCATATAAAATAAAGCTATTAGTATTCTGGAAAATAGAAAATATTTAATGAGATGATGAGAAAAGTTTCAATTTCCAGTTATAACAAATAAAATATTTAAGCCTGATGAGTTTTTGCCCAAGTATTCTGTCAGAACACATCCCTACAAATATAGATATGGAGAGATTTATAGGAGTTTCAGAAGAAAAAAACAATGGCTACTTATCTTTCTAGGCTGAAAAGAAGCATGACTGCAGAGCAGAATCATCAGGCAGGATACATAAACAAAAAAAAAAATAAAATCAGACTTGACCACAGTGACAGTCTGTCTGTCTGTCTCTCTCTCTCTCTCTCTCTCTCTCTCTCTCTCTCTCTCTCTCTCTTTCCAATAAATACACAAACAAACATTTGTAAAATTTCAGATCTTACAGGAAGGGAAAGTTTTTAGAACTCAAGATGGCAGAGAAAACATAAAAGAGGTTATTTACAATGCTAAAAGAATAAGATTGATGGAATGCTTCAACTACAGGAATATTAGAAGTCAACCCAGGTACATCAGGACCAGTGGACTAGACCATATGGCACTAATATGGTAAAACTTAGTGACTTACAGCAAGTTAGTTTATGATCACATCACATGTTTAAAGAAAGTAAGTGCTAGAGACGTAATGTTCTGCTTACAGTGAACACAGATACTCAGGCTAGCATGCACTTCACTATGGTTCTGTGTCAAAGTCACAAGGAAATACAGCAAGTAGCAATCCTTATAGAAGCTTCTTTCTGAAAGCGACATTTATCACTTTTCCTCACATTTTACAGACCAAAGCCAATAAATTACCCTACCTGCCTTAACAGTAGATGATAAAATATAATCTTACTATGTGCATACAATGTAGAAGACTGTGGGCAACTGGTTAATTATTATACCTGACCAGGCAAAACTTGTGTTCCCTTTGGTATCTTCTCCCTACAAAGTTCCATCTAGAATCTCTAAGTGATATGTACCAAATTCTTCATTTCTAGAGGA